AACGTTGGCTGTGCTTCATCTGTTGCTAAGCCCATAGTTTCACCTTGAATGTTTTGAGTGTCTAACGGTTCCTTTTCTGCTCTAAGAAATTTCCTGTTTCTTCTATATTTTTTTCCATCATTGGTCTTAACTAAATATGATCGAGGACCAACTTTCTGTAAGCATTTGCTCTTTCTCCATTATTAATGTTGTTGATCAGTTTGGATTCTCAGTGTCTCTCCAAAGTTTAGGTCTGGTAGATCCTTGCATTTTTGGTCATAGTAGAATTTTGCCTTCTTTCGCTCTGTGACAATATTGTCTATGACATTATAGTGTGGACCCTAGAGTCATTTCGCGAGATAGGCTTGCCCAAAACAATTTTATTGCATTTTCTGGATATTTTAGTTATGCTGAATCAAAAAATGGAAGGGTTCATTTTTTCCGAGATAGCCTTGAAATTCCAAAATGGCCGCCATTTTCACTTTAAAAATAACAATAACTGTGCCATTAGAGCAAATATTATCAATTTGGCAGCAAACCCTATATTTCCAATGTCCACCTGTCCAATGGTGATATTCTCACTGATCATAAATGGCGGCTATCTTGAATTGCAAAATGGCTGCCGTTTTTACAGTAAAAATAACAATAGTTGTGCTATTAGAGCAGGTACCAACTGATTTTGGCAGCAAACCCTATATTTTCAATGTCAACCTGCCTAATGGTGAGATTCTTACGAATCATACATGGCAGCCATATTGAATTTCAAAATGGCTGCCATTTTCACAGTAATAATAACCATAATTGTGCTATTAAAGCAGGTATCGACATGATTTTGATAGCAAAACTTATGTTTTGAATGTCAACCAGTTCAAATGATATTCTTACTGTAATGGTGGCCACGTTGAAATACAAAATGGCCGACAAATTTCAAGCAAACACTTATAAATGCCAGCAATCCCTCATTGGCCAGGAGACTCCTGTTTTGGTATTCTGACCCCAGGTCAATTTCTCTCATGTTTTTCGTGTTCTTCCAGTGTATAAAAAATGGCATTATACGTTAATTGTAGTCTTTTTGCAATAACACACTACGGAAACCCTCAACAATTAAGTTATATATTTCAATACGTTGCTCGGCGGCAGCATCGCTTCTCCTTAAATGGTGCGTGAAACAAGACAAGACGATAGGGCCTTTTAAAGTGAGGCAATGGTCTGTCTGAAATCGTTTTAAAATGGAGGTCAATAAAATGATAATATTACGACTAGAATACAGTACTTGCATAAAGCAGGAATAGTGACGTAGCTGACCAGACCTTATGTTTAATAATTGGACATGAATTTGCAGTTGCTAAAATACCAGTCCAGTAATTATATAAAACGCACTTTTAGACAAGTATTGAATCCAGATTTTGTATCTTGTACTGAAAAAAGGCTAGAAAATGATAAATTAATCCATATAGACATAGCCTGTAGGCATTTTGTCTTGTGTAGACACAAGACAAAATGTGGTTCAAATAAAAACACAAGTTATTTAAAATCAATACCGTACTTTTAATATTGGAATATATATCATAAGAATCATGAGATTTGCCCTTATAATACATTAATAGCTGAAGCCTCCAAGGGGAGGGTTTACACATGTAATGGGAACACCTCTCCCAACCCCATGTCCAAATTCCCCCGTTTTTTACTATCAAAATGTTAGCATGTATTAAAACTGCATTATTTTTTTAAAGTAATATGTCGATTGAAAAAAAGATTTTATTTCGAACTTAATAACACATTAACCAGTCCAGTGTTTATTCACATGAAGAACGGGTGCCAACTGTCTTACTCAAAATGACTGACATTTTTTCAGATGCATGTCAAGTGTTTTTACAATATCAGTCACTCCGGTATTAATCTAGAAATTACATAAGAGTTCCTAAATCAGCAGATCAATCTTGTTAGAACAATAAAACTTGTGTCATGCTATTCTTCTCTGCCATCTAGACATTTGAAACTTGAAATTAATTAATTAATTAATTAGGTATTATTGTTTAGGAGTTTGCATGGCGGAGTAACAATAATAAAAAAATGTAGTGGTAGTAGATATCTACATGGTGTAGTCAAACATGAACCAGATCAAGAACCACAATGGAAACAATTACACCAACTCACTCTCTCATCATTAATGATTAATTTTTTAGGCATACATACATCTATGCCTTTCAAATTAGCCTCATTTTATACTACTAGTTTTTAAAGCAAGTTCAGTTATTATAGTGTAGACGTCTGTTCAAGCACATTAAAGTGCTTGAACAGACGTCTACACAATAAAATCGGGCAGAAAATTATAGTTCTTGCGCAATTTTTTCTGGAACTCACATTTAACCACCACTATGACTTCTTTGGGTGCTGGAAGAGTAAAATATGTTGTTAGCATGACCCATTAATATTGCTTCCATCAACAATTCTTTCTTGACTGAGATAATATTTTAATTGAAGTGTCATTTACAGACTTGTAAAAAAGTCATATCAAGGTAACCACGGTACTTGCAAGTTTCCTATTTTTTTCATTTGCAATAACCAACATTGATATAAGATATGGCAAGTAAGCATTTATTAGTTTGGTGTCTAAGGCAGTTTATAAAATACAGTAGCATCAATGTGTCTGTCATTTGGTGCATCCTGATAATGTTTAACATCTTCCGACAATTGAAAGTGTTGACTTTGGTATCTGTTCCCTAAACAATAACCAACTTTTTAGGCTGCATTCTGCAAATGGATGTGCCCATGTGCCATAGATGACTTGATTTTGCCAAAAGATAATATCTATCACAGACTAATGTTTTATTGCCAAATTTCTTTCGATGTAATATTAATTGGTTTTGCTTTGTTCTTTAATTGGTTTGCATTTCTCTAAATCTTGAACATCATACCTGTCGAATTTTTAACAAAGTTGGGCTGTTTTATCTGGTTTTTAATCGTTAGTCTGTGTCTTTGATACTGTCACAATTTATTATTGATATATTGATCATGTTAAACTCTAACCATTGCAAAGATAAGGAAACAACCTCTGTCGTTGTTCTATTAACTTGATACGTTGTCCCCAATCCCACAAGTATATTTTGGTATTGCCAAATGGTAAAAATACCAATGAAGTAGATCCAACTCTTATTTTAAAAAAAAATAACCCATAGTGAATAAGAAAGTAGTTTGCGCATTCCTTGTTCTAGTGTCTTTGCCGATTAAATTCCCTGTGCACCTAATTGTGAGATCTGCATGGGAATATTAACTGTGTACTGTTTTAGATATTTAGACTTAAAAAAACATACGTAAGAGAGTTTTGGTCACTCAGTTACCATTCTCAAACTAACGTGTAGAAATCTGCATATCTATCTCCAGCTTGCCGACTGGTAGTATTGTGTCGGCCAACTTCTCCTGGTCTGATGTAAGCAGGAGTCCCTAGGTCTTGTTGTGGGTCGACAAAAATTGTTCCTACACATGGGACAACTGGTGTACTCCCTCGTCTCTGTTAATATTATTGTCTTTACTACTGAACCATTTAGATCCTTTTTCATCTACTGCCGATATCAGTTCCCCCTGTAACTTGTAGTATTTCCAATCTGGGATGTGGTTGTGTGTGACCATATGTCCAGTGATTGCTGATTTGTGCATGTCTCAATAAGAAAAACGCATGTTGGCTCTAGTTCGTACCCCTTTATTTATATTTTTCAACCTCATTTCATGTTCACCTAAGCAGTCAAACCGTTTACTATTGGTCGCAATGACCACATAATAACTCTAAGGTGAGTGTTTGCTCACGAAATCTTTTTTTTCGGATGCACTAGTTCTCTCAACTTATTTTGATGTCATGAATCATGTATTAAAGTTGTGTGTGCTCATTCGATTTGATATTTCCGATAGACCACTGACATACAGAATCATGACAAAGCACCTTTTGGATTTCTCTTTGGTACTTCACATGTGTTGTCTTTCTGTCTTCATGGTCCAAGAAAGGTATGATTCCACTTAGAATATAACCATTAGACAGGTTAATTTGTTGATAGGTTTGCAATTGAAACTTAGGTTTTGCAATTAATACTTGATTTTACTTCGCAAAAAAATAAGCAGTTTGTGTTAGAAATTGTTCGGCCATTTCGAAATTCAAAATGGCCACCATTCTTGATCCGTATGTATATCACCATTCGACAGCTTGACATTGGAAACACAGGGTTTTGCTACCTAAATCATGTTGACCTGCTCTAACGGCACAGTTATGTTTTTTATTACTGTGAAAATGGCAGCCATTTTAAAATTCAAGATGGCCGCCATTTATGATTCGTGGGAATACGACCGTTAGACAGGTCGACATTGAAAACCTATTGTTTGCTGCCACAAATAAGTTGATACCTGCTCTAATAGCACAATTAATAATAATAATAATAATAAAGTAAGAACTTATATAGCGCCATTTAAAAAACCGAAGTAATTATCAGTGGCGCTTCATTTTTGAGTGATTTTTTTAAATAAAGGAATTGATGCTGATTTTTTAATGTGAAGTGGTAGTGCGTTCCAGAGTGTGGCTGCAGCAAATGAAAATGATCTGTGTCCGAAGGTCTTAGTGTTGGTGCTATTATTATTATTGCTATTTTACTTTCAAACTGGCAGCCATTTTGAAAATCAAGATGGCTGCCATTTATGGTTTGTGAGAATATCACCATTGGAAAGGTTGACATTGAGAACATAGGGTTTGGTACCAAAATCATGTCGATACCTACCCTAATAACGCAGTTATGGTTACTTTTACTGTATAAATGGCGGCCATTTTGAAATTCCAAAATGGCCGCCAAGACAATCTCGGAAAAAATGGACCATTGCATTTTTGGATTCAGCATACCGAAAATACCCGGAAATTGCAATAAAATTGCTTTTGGCAAGCATATCTCGCAAACCTGTTTTTTGGACTTTAGGTTTTTCACTATTAGTCACAATCTGAGGATTTAGCAGCTGTTCCGTAATTGGTAATTGGTACAGAAACATTAGTGTTTCTGTACTGGGCTGTTACCCTCTGTATCTAGAGTGTTTCTCCAGTCCAATAACGCCAAGTAAATGTCTTTGTTGTCTTTTTTAGCTTTCCTGATGAGATTTTTAGCTATGTTGACAGTGGCTTCAGCTTTCCCATTACTTTGGATATGCAGTGGAGAGCTTGTGGTATGTTCAAAATCCCATGCTTTGGAAAAATCTTCGTACTCTTTTAAAATGAATTGCGGACCGTTGTCTGTTACCACTCCTCTGGGTATTCCGTGTCGGTTGGTACATTCTATGACAGTGCTCGATGTAGTATCTTCTATTAATTCGTCTACTTCCCAGAAATCAGAGAAGTAATCAACTGTGATTAAATAATCTCGTTGGTGAATAGTGAATAGATCTTTATGTTGCCATCGTTCGGTGGGGATTTCCCACGTCATCATACTCGCCTTCTGTTGCTTTTATCTTAGTGCATTACAAATATCACAACTGCTTACCAAATATTTGATTTGGGATGCCATTCCATGCCAAAACAAACTATCTTTTGCTCTTCTTATTCATGCTTTATCTTCTTCATGACTGCTATGTGCTTTTTTGAGCAATGATTGCATAGTTTGTGGTACAATTATATGTTGCTTTTTATACAAAATACCATCCTGCATTGTAATTTCATCCCGGAAGGCGAAATAAGCTTCTACTGTCTTTGGCACATCAGATGTCAACTCAGGCCATCCATGCTGGACTATTAACATTAATTCCATCAGATTGGCATCTGCTTTGATTGCATTTTGAAGTAGCAGTTGTGTGCTTCTGCTTACATTCATATATTCAATTTGGTTGATGTGTTCTATTTCACTACATATCTGCATCTTCTTACTGTTGTTTTTCAAGAATGCACGGCTCAGGAAGTCAGCAATTAATATACCTTTTCCCAGAATGTGTTGAAGCATACTTCTGTAATCTCAATACCATTCTATGCAACCGTTTTGGTGCGTTGTTTATTGGTTTCTAGAAAATAGGTATTAGTGGTTTATGATCTGTCTGTACATTAACCATGTCTCTGCCATAAATAAATTTATCAAATCGCTCTCAAGCAAAGACAATAGCAAGGCATTCTTTCTCTACCTGAGCATACTTTTTCTCAGTCATCGGTAATGCTTGTGAGGCAAAGTAGTCTGGCTGACAGCCTTGTAGTGATGTAGCTCCAAGTGCATGCTCTGATGCATCACACTAGATAGTTACTTCCTCATTTACGTCATGGTATCTGAGTAATGGTGCATTTTTGCTCATTATCTTTAGCTTATTCCAAGCTTCCTCGTGATATTGTAGCCATTCAAAGTGTAACTGCTTGTCTGTTAACCGTCTCAAGGGTTCTGCAACATCTGATAATCGTGGCAAGAACTTTGATAAATATGTCACTCACCCTAACAGTAGCTTATTTTGATTCAGGCCTTGGCATATGTACTATAGCTGTTATTTTCTCTTGATTAGGTAGAAGCCCATCATGGGAAATAATGCGTCCCATGTACCTGACTTCCCTGATTCCCAACTTGGCTTTCTTCATGTTAAGCTTTAAGCTTACTTGTCTAGCCTTATTTAGGAATGCTCTTAGGTTTGCATCATGGTCGTCCTTTGCATCCTGATCTGTTTCTCCATATCAATATATCAGAAAATCGTCAGCAATGACTTCAACAACATGTAAATCTTCGCTTATCTCATGCTGTCGTCTCTGAAATTCTTCAGGTACTGTTGATATACCAAATGGCATTCTGTGGTATCTGTACCGCTCAAATGGTTTTCCAAATGTAGTTTAAAAACTACTTTTTTCTGTTTGCTTAACCTGCCAAAATTCATCCTTAGCGTCAAGAACACTGAAGATTCTGGCTCTGGCTAATTTTGGTAACATATCTTTAACGGTGAGCATCATATAGTTTCCTAGAGGGTTTTTTTTACCAACAGCCATACTACTGAGCCAATCCGTAGGTTTAGTTACCTTCTCAATGATACCTCTTTGTTCTAAGTTCATCTTTAATAGCAACTGCAACTCTTCTCGGTTGGTTTTTCACTGGTTGTATGGACTAATCTATTTCTATCTCGTATGCACCTGGTAGGCAACCGAGTCCTTCGAACACATCGCTATACGTATCTAGTATGCTCTTGATACTATCTTGAACTGTAGCCTGATGGATGTCTTCTTCCCCTATTAAAAGTAATGCATTATTTATAATGTAAGCTTGTATTAATTTTCTTTATATAGGCATTTTAGCTCTACTTCACCATGCACCTTTACCTCTTGGTCATTGTACATCTTCAGTTTGGTACTGGAATGCTTTGATTCTATGTTCCTTTCTATCTTATCAAGTTCATCTTGAGACATTATACAGCAGGATGCTCCTGTGTCAATTTCGCATTCAATATTTGCGGATGTAGCAAGATTTTACTTGGAGTGTTATCATCAGCTTCTTGTCACCATTGTTGTTGACAGCTCATTCACTCTCTAATTGAAAGTTTGATTCTGATGATGAATCTTCCTCTTCTTCAATTTGATGTGTTCAAGTTGTACGTCTCTGTTTGCCGTGTGTGGCTTGCTTAGTATTTCTCACACACAGGCGGGAATTTTTTTATTTTTCCACATTTTGTGCATTTTGTTCCATAGGCTTTGCACTTTCGTTTTTCTTAGGTGTTTCGACAGGCTCGGCAATTTTTAATCACATGCTTTGACGACATACACGTCTCAGTTTGCCGTGTGTGGCTTGCTTAGTATTTCTCACACACAGGCGGAATTTTTTTTTATTTTTCCACATTTTGTGCATTTTGTTCCATAGGCTTTGCACTTTCGTTTTTCTTAGGGGTTTCGACAGGCTCGGCAATTTTTAATCACATGCTTTGACGACATCTTTAATAAGTGTATTTCTTTGGATTATGCTTGTTTTTGTGCTTCACATAATTTACTGTGCTTTGATCATCTACGTCATTGATTGGATCTGGTTTTTTGTAGCTTCATTTATTTTTATGACTGCTATTGAATCCTTTAAGGATGCAACTTCTTTCTGTCTTTCAAACAAGATATTATTTTGTTAAAGGAACTGGTCATCTAATGCTTGGGGTAATTAATCTCGATCTTTGGAATCTGATTCAGTTAGGTTATGATTTCTACGAACCATCCTGCACTCTGCACCATTTACAGTTTTCAAAGTTGCACTTTGAAATGAACTTCATTCAACTCAGTTGCTATGATGTACTCATTGTAGGATTCCTTGAATTCCTACCAATTAGTTTCAGTATCTTTCGTACATAACATCGGTTTTGGTGCCGGTAATGTGTTTACCATCGACGACGTCGCTGCTACAGCCATGGCTAATTATATCGTGCTGGCTCCAATTGGATAGGCCTAGGTCACCAGGGGTCATCTAGCTAACTATGTATCACTAATCGAAACTCACCGCGTTCAGCCTGGCCAGCTGTATACCGTGCGAGTCCCTGTTTAAACTATGTATTTTCGAGTTAATAACTGTACGTTTCGGCTTTCGAATACAACTCCTTCGTCTTGTAAAGGGTTTAAAGTTTAAACTGCACCACTTCTGACACCATGTTATAGTTTGGTTACTATAAATATGTGGGTTTAGTCGTAGACAAACGACACAACATACTTATTTAATGCACAACATACTTATTTAAGTATGCGGGCGCACTGCGCTCGCATACGGCCATCAGTAGACTCGAAACAACTTTATTGACTGGAATTTATCTTTTTGATTATCATAGGCTGAAGAATTTTAGGTACCACTATTTGTTGTACCTTGAACACGATTCAGTTCTGTACTGTCATTTCATCTTTAAATGTAAAGTACGATTTGCAAGAGGTGGAGTTTTATCTGTTGAGTCTGGCCAACCTGTATGAACCATTAGCATCACCTCTATCAACTCATCGTCACCTTTTGTAGCTTCCTTAAGCTGTAGCTGTGTACTCTCGCTAACATTGATGAAGTCGATCTGGTGAATGCTTTCTAACTCTTTCATGATTCCGCTTTGTATCTCATTAACTGGTGCTCTGCTCAATAAATCAGCAACATACATTTCTTTGCCTGGAACATAAATTAACGTTTATCTCAACAACATTCTCTGAAGTCGCTTTGGTGCAGTGTTTATATATAGCTTTTTTAAAATGGGTATCAATGGCTTATGATCAGATTGAATGGTCGTGGTACGTCCCATTATATAGTGTTCAAACTTTTCACAGCCACGATAGCTAAACATTCCTTTTCTATCTGAGCCTAGTTCTTTTCTGTTTTGGTCAAAGCTCGGGAGGCAAAACACTGATTTACGTTCTTGTAGTAATTTTGCACTTACGCCATATTGGCTGACTTCCTTCTGCAAGTCATTATACGCTAGCAGTGGTGCGGTAACTATCAATGATTTAATCTTATTAAATTTCTCATTATGATGCGGAAGCCATTAAAAATGTTTATTCTTATCTGTTATCCTACGTAATGGTTTAGCTAATTCTAAAAGCTTAGGCAGAAACTTAGATAAGTAAGTAATGCAACTCATGAAGACTTGGACACCGTTCTTGTCCTCAGGTGGGGTCATTTGAGTGATTGCATTGACCTTTCTGGAACTGGTCTTAAATCATTATCACCTATAACATGACCCATGTATTTGATACTCTTTACTCTCAACTCTTTTTGCGATTTAGCTTTAAGCCCACGGATTGGCATTTATCCATAAACTTTAACAAGTTTGTTCGTGAACAATAAGTGCTTTATCATATGTTTTGCCACTACCACAGATTACAAAATCATCAGCGATAACTTCAACACATTTCAAATTCACAATTACAGTATTAGCACGACGTTGCATTTTATCAGTAGCACAACTTATCCAGTATGGGAGACGAGTGTACCTATAGCGACCGAACTCAATACCAAACGTATACTACTTTCTTTTGTAAATTCAATTTGCCAAAATGCTTCACTTGCATCACAAACTGAGAAAACCTTCGCCTTGGTTAGCTTCGGCAAGATATCATTCAACACTGGAAGTGCATTTTGGTCTAATTATGGCCTTGGCCTGATTCAACGGTTTTGATCTAGACAAACCCTCAATTTGCCGGGTTTCTTTACTGGTACAATGAGTTCAACCAAACTGTAGGTACACTAACCTTTACAAAAATGCCTCTAACCTCTATATCATCAAGTTTTTTCTTGAATTCTGTACGGAGTGGTATTGGCACCTTTCTGATGGGTTGCTTAACTGGGCGAACCTGTGGATCAATTTTTAATTCACACACATCAGGAAGTTTCCCTAGACCAGTAAAAAGATCATCATATTTACATAAAATGTCATCATAAGACATTATGTTTACGCTTTCCACTACACATTCATCTATGACCTTAAGCAACTGCATTTTTTTTGACAAGCCACAACCAATAATTGGAAT